GCGAGACTCGGGTCCTATGGAGCATCATTCATTTTCACATTTGTGCAGGCCGTAAAAGCTGCCCGAAGGAAGAACCAACACCCTTGGCAAGGGAGACATGGGAGTATTCGGTGGCAATGAGCTACTTTTCCCTGAGCGAACTACGAAGCGGTATCGAACAGCTGGGCGATATGAAATTCACACTTCTGGTGGATCTGTGCAATGGAGGTCCAGCAGTAGCTCAAGTGAAACATATCCCTGCTATCAGATCATTGATCAGTGACCAATGCACGTCTCTGATAGTGTCGACCACATTTCTTGAACATGATCCTTATAGGCTCCTTGCGCAGATACAGACTGCTCATTCACTCAAAATAGTCGGAAATCTGTCAATACAGACGAGTTACTCGACTTCGTATTTATTCGCAAATCTGAGTAGCGAAATGTATCCATTACGTCGCTTGATTCTCCGGGCGATGCTACCGCCTCGTATTCTACACGACTCTCATATCTTCCAACGACTTCACCATCTATACCTCTATATCTTTCACGAATGGTGGGCCAATGGCTTGAGCCGTTTAGGCGGTCTTCTCAAAGAAGTTCGAACTTTGGGTATAGGAGGCATTGCAACACCATCATTACAGCCCATCATTTCCATCTCTTCCCAGCGTCTGGTTCACCTAGTTCTATCCTCTGTATCCCCATCCATCTTCTTTAACTCTACCTATCGGTCTCTAGTGGCACTACTGTTCGATGGTAAGGGATTTTCAGATCTAACCGATCAGATTAGATCATTACCGAGAATCCCATTCCCGTCCTTGCGATATCTACTATATAAAGGACGCCTATCGTCGCTCTCCAAATTCGAGGCCCCTAACCTCCTTATTCTTGCCATACAAAGCCAAGGCAGTGCCCCAAATGACCATCGAGACAAGGTCGAGCTATCTAAACATCTTTCCATAAATCCTAGATACGTCATAATGGATATGGAACTAGGCTCAGACTCGTTAGTTGAAACCTTTCTGGCCTCAGCAAGGAATGTAGCGGACTTGGAAATCAATTTCGACGAAGGATCCCTTCGCTCATCCAAAATGCCACATCTCTTATCAGAAATTCTAGAAAGCAATCCATTCTGTCCAGCCCTCCTCAACCTGAGGATTTCAGTTCGATCGAAAGGGGCAAGGTGGACTACTAATAAGGCGAACCTGATCTCCATCTCAAGGGGAATTCTCCTATCTCGGAAAGAAGCCAATCATCTCACCTCATTGGAAAGCCTAAAATATAAAGTCACCAAAAGTTGGGAGTTCGATTCTTGTCATGGTAGGAGAAGAATGGACGAGTTGTGGGAGAGAAATCTAAGGGACGGATCGCAAGCAACTTGGGATCGGGAACGCGAGAGACTTCTCTCTCGGCCAGGTTGGATAGATCTTCAGGAGTAAGTTTGGTATCTAGTGCTCGAAACGATTTCCAGATGGAGGTGCTATATCTCGCATTCTCTATAGACAAGCGTTTGAAACTTGAATATGTATTTCTCCTTCTTTTGATTTCATGAAGTGAGTACTTCAGAGTCGGTCTATACGAATTGTGTACCCACTAGTGAGACCAATACGTGATGTTCAAATCACAAACTACTTCGAAGGTGATGGAATCCCATCGCATATGGACAAGTTGACATCCTAGTTCATGATTAAATCTATAAACATGGCACGTTCCAGTGCTATGGTCGGTGCCACCGCCGCGTCCAAATCGGGCCAGTCCTTGACCCTCTCCAGATTGTCAACTTTGAGCCAACCTGGCTCCTGGGCATGACAAGGTTCTGACCTGAATCTTTACTGATAATCAATCACCATAAACAGGTAAGGAGTATATTTGTAGTCCTGCTGGCCGGTATAGTTGACAACAATGATAGGCGCGCAACAAGACAGTCGCACTATGGCCGAGCTCTGCTTCGTCGAGCAATTGCCAATCGAGATACTGAGAGAGATATTCGTCTACTATTACCACAGCAATCAAGAGATTCCAGTCAAATTCTTGTATGTCAGTCGTCGATGGCATGCAGTCGCACAAGAGACGCAATTGCTCTGGAGCATTCTTCACCTTCACCTCTGTCTCAAAGGCAAAAAGTGTGACAAAAGACCCCTTTCGTTCCTTTCGAGGCACAAATGGGAATCATCCGTGGCTGTTCGATGTTTTTCCTTGGCTGACCTCATAAAGGCTACAGAACGATTGGGGTCTGCCAACTTTACGTTGTTTCTGGATATGTGTGGGGGCATACCTCTTGACAGAGGCCAACATGTCTCCGATATCAAGTCCATAATCACCAGTCGATGCACCACTTTGGCCGTCTCCTCCATGGTTATTGGACACGATCTTTTCGGTATACTGTGGGACCTCAAAGCCATTAATCTTTGACCATCACTGGCGGACCTTCACTATGGTGGTCCACAATTCAGACTGGCTTCTTTGCAGGGCTCGTCGGCGCTACCTCTATGCGGAAGGTCACACTCCGCCACATGCTCCCATCTTACATTACCCAAGAATCCAGTCTCTTTGCCCCAGTACACCATCTCGATCTCTATATATCGAGCTCATGGCAAAAGGAAGACCTCCAGAAGATGGGTGATCTTCTTCAAGAGGTCCGAACCCTGAGCTTACAGGGTCCCGCTATCCATTCGTCTACCCCCAAAGTTTCTTTTACGTCCATACACCTCATTCATCTCAGACTCGTCTTTATTAACCCATTCCTATTCTCTTCCTCTGTCTATCACTCCCTAGTCGTACTTTTCTTAGAGGAAGATGGCTTTACGGTAGAAACGACGGGTGGCCTTCGAAACCTCGACACAAAAGTAGAGTTTCCTTCACTACGATACCTACTATTTAAGGGGCCACGGGGGTACCTCTCGAGCATTTCGGCGCCTAACCTTCTTTTCTTCACCATGCGAGCACAGTTCGAGGACATATCAGGTTTTGATGGCCCACCCACTAAAGAATTCAAATTGAATGAGCTACTTATACGGCCAAAGTACGTCAGCCTAGAGCTGAGGCGTGGGACAACCCCCTTTGTAAAAGCTCTCCTCGCTGAGCCGAGAGGTATGGTCGACCTAGAGTTGGTTTTCGACGAATGGTCCCTTGCCTCACCCGTTATCACCCACCAACTATCGGAAACTAACGAGAATGGGGGGGTATGTCCCGACCTTCCCAACCTCAGGCTCATTCTCGAATCTAGTCATTATTCCCGGGATATCAATACTACAAAATTGCTCTCAATTGCCGAAAAAATATCTCGCAAACGATAGGAGAACTCCAAAGTATTGACCCCGCAAAGCCTAAAGGTCAAGGTCGTTGATGACGGCCCAGGATTTGATGTGCTTCACGGGTTGGGGGGATTTGGTGAGCTCTGGGAGAGGGGTTTGAGAGATGGATCTGAAGAAACTTGGGAAAACGAGCGGAACAGGTTGCTTTCTCGACCAGGTTGGATCGATATTTGAGATGTGAGTTGAAGCTGCATCGTTTTTTGGTCATAGTAGAGTTAGGAGACTGGCTTTGTTCATTGTATGATTTATCTGGGATTCAGCTCGATTCATGATTGAGCGTTTCCTGTACTCCCTTGGCCCGGCTATACCAATATTCGATTGTTAGTACTTTTCTAGTATTTTGAGAACGTTTCTAGACCAAATAATAAACTCAAGGCTACAGTGGTAACCGAACTGTCGACCGCTTGCAACTTGATCCCATCTCTATCTCGACTATTGATCAGAGTTAGAGTTCGAGATTAACGCGTCGATCAGATAAATTCCAATAACAATCGCCACTATACAAAAGTAAGTAATTCAGCTTTTCTGGCTCGTGAACAAGATGACCAAGCGAGAGGCGCCCAGTTGACTGTTCACCATATGGCCGAACCTTGCTTCATCGATCGATTACCAACCGAGTTGTTAAGAGAAATCTTCCTCTTCTCTTACTATGGCCAGCAAGAAAGGCCTGCCAAACTTTTATATGTTAACCGCAGGTGGCATAACGTTGCGCTCGAAACGCAAACGCTTTGGAGCACTCTGTATCTCCTCATTTGTCCTGATGGAGAAAAGTGTGGAATCAGGCCCTCTATGGTGCGGGTCGAACATGAATGGGCAGCATCCGTGGCGATTCGGGTCTTCTCGCTAGAAGAGCTCCTCAAGAGCATTGGTCGACTAGGTTCAGCCAAATTTACACTACTTGCGGATTCATGCTCTCATTCCGATAAAAGGTTCATTATCAAGGATGATGGGCTCATCTCTGCCGCCAAAGCTCTCATCAGTAGGCGTTGCGCTACCTTGATTGTCACCAGCAACTTTATATTGTGGGATAGCCGTGGCCTTCTGTGTGAACTGAGAGCTCTCAAGACATTACAGTTTAGGGCAAGACTCCATTATTGGTGGAAGGCCGATCAGATTGGGTTCCTCACAGGCCTTGTCAACAGCCCGTGTTTGCGTAGGGTCATTCTACGGCGACTTGTTGCAGCTCATATCACCCAACACCATACCCTATTTTCCCGAGTTCATCACCTAAATCTTCATATCTCGCGTCGCTGGATCTCGGAGGATTTGGAGAAGCTTGGCACTCTTCTCCAAGAGATCCGAACCCTGAGTCTACAGGGAAGAGGGGGACTTTTATCCCATTGTCAAGTTTCTTTTCCGTCTCAATCCCTCGTTCATCTCGAACTTGCGCTCATACCGTTGTCCATTTTCTCCTCCTCCGTCTATCGGTCTCTGGTTGTACTATTTTTACAACCGAGAAACTCGCAGGAAACCACTGAAGATACCCTGGATTCCGGCCCAATTCTGTATCTACCTTCTCGACTATTGATCAGAGTTAGAGTTCGAGATTAACGCGTCGATCAGATAAATTCCAATAACAATCGCCACTATAC